ACAGAAAACAATCAGCTCTTCTCAGAAACATGCACCCCAGAGTGGAGACAGCTAATCCTTTTTTCAGCCAAAGACTCAAATTGAGTAAATATGTGAATTTTGAAGCCAGAACACATTAGTGCTCTTGACAAGTGAACAGTCGTAAGACCACAAACCCAGAATATACATGCACACCTCGAAACACGGGGACGTTCACATCCACATTCACATAGTCAGAAATCTGACCCAATTACCGTATTGTTCACCACATAAGTCGCACCTTTTTGCATAAATTTGCAAGGCCTGCGACTTATACACCGAAGCAACGTTTTTTCCCATATTTATAAACCAATTTTTGGCTGAGCTCTGACGATTTCATTCATTCTGACATTAAAAATCTTAAACATTGCCATTTTCAGCCACTAGAGGGTCCTCGAGCAGTATGGCAAGCCAAGTGTCTCAATAATTGTTGGAGTCAGTCTCCCCACCATCACAGACATCTACACCTCCAGATGCAGGAAGAGTGCCACCTGCATCATGAAGGACCCCACTCACCCAGCATACACACTTTTTGCCCCGCTCCTCTCAGGCAGGAACTTGAGGAGCATTAAGTGTAGGACCACTAGACTGAGGAACAGCTTCTACCCTGAGGCTGTTAGACTCATGAATCTCTAGTCAGGATTATCGTTGTGAAAAAAATCACTGTAATACAACTTGATTGTCAGTCTGTGCTGCTGACTATCCATGATGCTGATCTCATGCTGCTGATTTATTTCACGCTGCTGTGTTCATTCATCCTCATCTGCTCACACAGACTCGTGTTCATGCTGCTGTTGTTTGGCGCATTGTTTTGTACTATTAGTGCTTAGTGTATTCTTAGTTCATATCTTAGATCTTATTACTGTTTTCCTTTGCAGTTTGTATTTTGTTGGATGTAACTGGGACCCTGTGTACATAGTTTCATTCTACCTCAAGTACCACATTTGATGTGTATGGCAATAGACACCTTGACCTTGACCTCGACCTTGATTAATAGGTCAAAGTGGCTATTAATGAGACACTTGGCTTGCCATACTAAGCCACCTGCGTCTCGCTCATGCAGTTGTCATACCAGGAGGTGGTGTTGATTGAAATGCTCTCAATAGTTCACACAAGGTGGTGAGGACTGTCACTCACTTTGGTATCCTGAGAAAATGCAACCTCTGCTGAGCTTTCTTTCTCCAGGAGAGATCCTCAGTGATGAAGCTCCCCCAAAACAAAATGCTGCTAACCTTTCCACAGGGGAGCCGTCACTGTAAAGTCAGGAATATTCAGCCTGTTTCCAAAAGCCAACAATAAACAGTTTGCTTGTTTGTTCCCTGCTAACTTTTCACACACAGTGTTACTTCAAATATATTAAACTGACACACTCTAACGCTGTCTTTGCCCAGACCTCATCTGTACAAATGGTGTCTCAGGCCATTTTAAATGCTTGAGTGTCGGCGTTGAATTGCATTTGCACATGACTGCACAAAACTGTTTAACCACCGCACACAATTTACCTCCATCTTTAAGGTACCTCTTGACCCGAGACATAAAATCTAATTTCTACCGCACCCAACTCCAACCAAACTTACCATTTAGATTGAAAGTCTTTGTTTTGGTTTATTTTGTACTACAAAATTCAGATGTGAGTTTTTATTTTATGAACCACAAGACAGATTTAATCAAACTCTCTGAGTGTGGATTTACAACTCTGTTAGGGTTACTCGCAACCTGTTCAGGGTGTCCCCCACCTTTCACACAGTGACTGCTGGATATGGGTGCCAGTGACCCCCGTGACACGAAAAGGAAGATGCGGATAAAGATAATGGATAGATGGATGGATAACTGAGTTAATTCAATTCATGATGACCACAACAGCAAACACTAACATAGTTATAACTGTTAATTTTACAGATATTGAGCTCAAATTTGATACAGTTGTAGCTGAAAGTCAATCAATCAATTCAATTTCAGTTCAGTTTATTTCTATAGTGCCAAGTCACAACATAAGTCCAGCCTAGAAGTGACAAATGCACGAACCAGTTTTTCTGCATCACTTTTAGACAAGATGTTTCTAGCTTTAGTGATATTACAGGTGGAAGAACGCGGTTCTGGTAACCTTTTAATGTGGGGGGACAAAGACATGTCCTGATCAAAAATAGTACCAAGGTTTTTAACTTTAGAACTGGAGGCCAAATTACTACCATCCAGAGAAAGTGAAAGGCTGCAATATTTATTCCTAAGAATCTCAGGTCCAAAAACCAAAACCTCAGTCTTGTCTGAGTTTCAAAGCCTAAAATTTAGGGTCATCCAGGTTTTTATGTCTTTAAGTCTAAGACATGCTTGTAATCTAAGTAGCTAATCGGATTCATTGCGTTTCATGGACAAATATAACTGAGTATCATCAGCATAACAATGAAAATTTATCCCATGCTGTTTAATAACATTACCTAAGGTAAAGAGTATTGGTCTAAGCACTGAACCCTGAGGAACTCCATGAACAACTTTGGTATAAGAAGATTCATATACAGCCATTCACAACACAACCTTTGAAAGTGATGTATGAAGTTACAGTGTCATATTCCACATAATAGTATTTTCAATATTTGAAGAAATGACAACAACTCCATCATTTTTTAACATAAAATATTCTTAGTTTGAAACTTTGGCATAAAAAGCAATGTGTGATATCCATTTGTTCAAGGAATGCTGGGTCTTTTTTGTGCTAATCTAATCTTACAGTTATTATTTAATTAATGGAATACAAATTAAATTTAGCTCAACTTGTAGGAAGGTATGTTCAGTCAGTAAACCATTACCCTTTAAAAATTAATCAAATTAATAAAGTAAATCAAAATGAACGTATATTTTCAGTCCTCACTGAGCTCAGAAAATGTCAACAACTCATAAATGTCAACAATACTGACATATTTCAAGCCTGTGGACATTAATACTTGTGCATATTTTTGTCCTTCATCATGGAGTGAAGAGGGGAGTTGGAAATGCTCTCCATCCATCCATCCCTCCATCCATCCATCCCTCCATCCATCCCTCCATCCATCCACGCTTTGAGCATAATAACTTGAAAAATAAGCAAAATCTAGACTTCCATTTTGGGGTGTGGCTGCATCCAGGCTGAAAAAAGGTCACTACTGAAAATTGGGTTGCCATGTTAAAAGATGGCCTCTGCCATATGTATCTGTAGACCATCCACCCCTATCATTTGATGAAACTATGCTTTCTTTTTTTTATTGCTTAAAAGTATAGTTTCCTCAAATGATTTGGATGGTCAGTGGGGTGGCTGAAGAATAATTTATGGTGGTCAAGGCCACCACTAGCCTCCCCCTGGCTCAGCCTTTGTGCCTGGTGGTGGATAAACTAGTTCTTTACGCTCACCAGGAGCCATCACTCTGCAACGCCTCAGACAAGCAATAAAATCCTACTTCTATGCTTATGCACAGTGTAACTATATCTTACACCAAAAACATTAAGGTTTACTTGCATTCCCTGTTCAGTTCCAGTCCAGAACCAGAACAAAACATTCATCTTGAAAACTAAGCCTCCAAGAAACGAGACACGTATGACGCGTTTGTCAGACCAGTGGCGCAGATCGACCACAGCAGCCTGTTCAACCACGGATGGGGAACTTCTCCCCATCCATCAGTAGCACTTGCTTATCTGTACCAGAGTTGGAGCTGACATGTTGCTGAAGGTGCTGTGCACGCTGAGCAGGTTTCCAGTCGTGCACAGAGCTGGCACATGGAGGCAAATGCATGTTCACACTCACATTCATACCTTGAGGCGATGTAAAGACATCAGATAATGGGTTTGGGTATCGAACTGTGAGGGCAGAACGTGCAAGCTCGGAGTTTAGACCTCAGCGATGTTTGCTTTTCAATAATACGCTCTTCCCAAACTACTTGTTTTTTAAAGGAATAAAAAGGTTCCAGGTCAATGAATTGTTGTTTTACTCCAATAAACATCAATGAACGTTGACCTGACCTTAGGTCGTCCTTGACACTGGCTCTTTTCCTAACACCATTGATTCAATGCACACATAGGAAACAGTCAGTGAACGAGGACTCAAACATCATTCGGTCAGCTGAAGTTAAAGTAGCTCACGATGTCATGTGCCATGTTACTAAACCTCACATGGACGAACCTGCCACGGCCTCCTTGACCTTTTCAACCTTTTAGAATGGGACTGGAATGAGCTTGCTTCAGCGTGAAGCCGATCATGGCACTGTTGCATCATTATTACTGGCCAATTAGACTTTTTCCTGCATTTTTCCACATCCTTGAGATGCTCACAATCACACCACCCTGTCACGACTGTCCCAACTAGAAGATCAGGCCACATGAGCCTAATGGGTATCTTGTTCAAACTGGGTTGTTTCCATGACCTTGTCACGATCTGAAGAATTCTGGTTCGGCATCAGTTTTAGCCTTGCTATGGAGGAGGAGACACTCAATCAGCATGAGGTGCAGATGAAGGGCTTTTCTGTGCAGAACCTTGACCATGATGAGAACAAGTTCTTCTTCCTTTGGAATCAAAAGGCAGAAGAAGCATGACTGAGTGCATGGATTGGTCATTGCAGCTACGCGGGGAGGGTTTGGCATGATCCTGTTTGTTGTAGAAAAAGCGGCGTATGGACACATCGTGTGTAGCAGCCGTGCTGCCAGAAGAGTTGCAGTAAATGACTTGGTGTGCCGTCAGTAGGGTGTGACGGGCTCTTGGTCTGGGCGTGAAGCAAGTGCGGCCAGTCCAGCTCCACATTTCCCAACAATCAGGCCAAAATGACTCGTCATGTCACGGATACACTTCTACAACAATAATATACCACCACGACCTGTGAAAGACACTCAGCTTGTGTCAAGGGGGCCTTAGTGAGAAAAAAGCACGATTTGTGGAGAGAATAATTTCTCTGCAGCAGAGACTGGGTGGAGAGAACAGAATTTATTTTAAAGAAAGTTGAATTGTCTTTTTGTCTCTGCAGCATCCTGTTCGCAGACATTGAGGGTTTCACCAGTCTGGCATCGCAGTGCACGGCGCAGGAGTTGGTGATGACTCTCAATGAACTTTTTGCCCGCTTTGATAAGCTGGCGGCGGTAAGGATGCAATCACACATGTGCAGATGCTTCAAAACTTGTGCTGACTCTTCAGATTGAATATTTACATGTCAACATTTCTAGGCTTCTTTTTTTTATATATATAAATTGCACCTTTTGGATTTCAAAATTATCACAATTTAAAAGTATTGCCATTAACGTAACAACTGTAACTAGAGAAACTACATTTCCTGCAAAAATGCAGTGTGAATGCTTATTGCTGAAGAACTTGCTGAAAAACAGCTGAACTTAGCTAAAAAAAAACAACTGCTGAAATGGAGCTGAAATGGAAGAACAAGCCTAAGTTAGTATAAAAAAGCAGAGTACACATAATTTGATGAAGTACGTTTAAATAAGCAGAAATTAGCTTAAGAATTAGGAAATTTGCTTTAAAAAAAGCTGAAATGAGCAAAAAGTAGCTGAAAAGTAGCTGAAAATGCATACACAAGCTTAAACTACCAGAATGCAGCAAAAAGAGCTGAAATTAGCCCAAAAAATGAGTTGAAAAGGATGTTCTGTGGATGCATTCTCATCTACCTGCCGGCTGTGCTCGAGTGCCTGACCCCTGAGATCCTGGAACTAACAGGAAACATGGCTCATGACAGCGGAAGAACAGGATCGTTCATTGGCACCTACAGTTGGCTGTCCGCAGCGACGAGGAGCTCGGCAGGCTGCTGGGAGGCGTGGCCATCGCTCTGGGAGGAGTTCTGCCCGGCATTCAGGCGGTCCTACAGCCCGGGGGAACCGAGAGGCCAGCCGAGTCTGGGTGGACGGATCAGACGGCATCTGCAGCCAGTTTCTTAGGATCCACTGTGGGATGGACCTTTACAAGAGATCCTTCCTGTCTACAGCATCAGGCTCTATAACATCTCTTAATGAAATGAGGATAACGAGTTACAACAACAAATAATCTCAACAGAGTGAACGCTTCATAAACACAAATATTGAAACATGCTTTGCTAACGCAGCATGTACAAACCACGTTATGAAAGTCTCTGCAGGTTCAGTAGGATGTGACATAAAACTGAAGTTAGACAACCTGGTTCCATCCGTCCGTCCATCCGTCTATTATCTTTACCCGCTTCTTCCTCTTTGGGTTGCGGGGGTCACTGGTGCCCGTATCCAGCAGTCAGTGTGCGAGAGGCGGGGGACACACTGGACTGGCCTCCAGTCCATCACAGGGACAGACGGAGACAAACAACCATTCACTCTCGCCTAGAGACAATTTAGTTACAACCTGATTCCATTTGTCTCTTTTTGATTCACCTTTGGATGAGCGGTGAGGGACATAAAACCATGTGCAGAAGAAGCGAGCAGAACAATAGGACCAGGGACCTGGGAGGAAACAGGAAGGAGAAAGATGCAGCTACTGCTGTCTCATGTAACGAATCGTTCGTAAACACTTCTGCTGTCAGCACTCTCACACTAAGGCAACCATTTTAATGAAGACTTGTAAATTTGGTGCAGGATTCATGCAACATTTTAAACTGAACAAACTTTTTAAAATTTCAACAGTTTGTTTGAAATAATTCCTTCTTCTGTAATAACCTCTTTGACGTACACGTTTAAATAAAATGCCAAATGTGCATCGAGCAGCTTGAACGTATCCGTTTCACACGAGCCACGACTGCCCTGCAGCTGCACTTATTCATAGCCAGCTTTTAACATCTGAACCGCAGCTTCCTAAAAAGCACATTCATGAATATTGATCGCTTGTTCCGTACGCAGAACCATCTCTGTTTGTCCAGTTCAAGCTCATTGTGCATCGTTTGTTTCTGGAAGGTGGATTGATGGGCTGCCAATCAATATTTATGAACACAACACGCATAATTTCATGATAAACCTGAAATGTTGCTACTGATACTTTTGTCTCCATGACAGATGTACTTTCCGTCTTTGCACACACGCACATACACACGTGCACGCTTGCTCTGGGCTCGTTGCACAGTGGATCCTCTTGTTTTGATCCATGTGCTAAAGAGGAACTCAGGTGGTGATCATGAGATGGTATTTTCTCCAGCCTGAGCCCTCAGGGGAGACATACATACAAAAATTATATTATAAAGTTTGACAATAAACTTCATTTACAGAAGCGTTTCAGAAGTTTCTGAAATGATTTTGTTTTTCTGTACAATTTCAGAATTTCAACAGAAATTAAATTTAAATACATGTAGATCAAAATCAGCAGAAGCAAGAATACACTAGTTTCAAACACTGAGTGGAAATAACACCAATAACATTTCAAAATAAATGCATTTTGTAGCACCTCAAAGTGTGTTATTGTATAACTAGAATTAGATTTTACCACAAAATCAAAGAGAACCAACATTTGTTAGGCCTTTACTGTTCGTCTATAAGACTTTTACTCTACAGCAATAAATCAAAACCCATTGTCCCAGTTTCTACAGAATTATACTCCTGTCTAAGGTTGGTATCATGGTATAGGCTGTAAACTTTCTCTTGTCCCATTCATAACTTCTGATCCGACAAAGATACCATAATTTCCGGACTATTGAGCGCACCCGAACATAAGCCACGCCCACAAAATTTCCAATAATTGTAATTTTGTACGTATATAGGCCACGCTTGAATATAAGCCGCAGGTGTCCGAAGTTGTAACATGAGATATTTGCACATATTTTTTAAAACTTTTAATTAAATATGTTCTGGTAGCATACACAAATGCGTACAGTAAATGTTTTTTTTTTCTGAACAATGGCCTACTGTTGAATGCTGTCTTCATTTTCCTCCTGCACACTGTGCCCTTGAGCTTGTGCTTTCAGCTGGAGTGCCACTTTAAATGCACGATTCACACTTTCGAGTGGCTGAATATTCTTCGTTCAGGTGTTTTTTAAAAACCTTTATTTATACAGGTAGTCACGTTGAGTCAAGAGGACCCACCCCCCAAGAGAGACTATGTGAACGCCCGAATGTGACGAGGCTAAAGGTTTTGGCGGCAGGAAGCTCGTTAGCCCCGTCAAAAAAAAAAAAAAACACATAAATTAGCTGAAGCATTTTTTAGGCCACGGGGTTCAAAGTGTGTGAAAAAAGTAGCGGCATATAATCAGGAAATTACGGTAATTTAACGAAACTTTGAAATGCATCATCACTAGATGGAGTGTCACATACACTTTTCATCACACCAGCTTCAAGGTCAAAGTCACAAATCAAGGTGAAGGTCTTTGCTTGTCCAGGCCATTGTAGCAATAGTTTATTTATCGGGTATTTATTGCATTCACATCCAGTAAGTTGTCCCGTCTTGTTCTTGTCTTTCTGCTTGCTGTGACAGGAGAACCACTGTCTGCGGATCAAGATCCTGGGAGACTGCTACTACTGTGTCTCTGGGCTGCCGGAGGCGAGGGCCGACCACGGCCACTGCTGCGTGGAGATGGGACTGGACATGATAGAAGCCATCTCGTAAGTCGGTTAACATGTGACAGGGAAATCGATACATCTGTCTCAAGTTTGTCTCAGAGTTGAAACGGAAGCCGTTCGTCAGACAGCCTTTTGTTGGATCAACGGATGAACTGCAGATGAATCTTCAATGTTTTATTTTCTGCTTTTAAACTCAGACAAGACTGAGGTTTGAGTTTTTGGACCTGAGCATCTTAGGAATGAATGTTTCAGTCTTTCTCCCTCCTTAGATGCATTAATCAGTCCTCCAGCTTTAATGTTAAAAATCTTGGTGTTATTTTTGATCAGGACATGTCTTTTATCCCCCACATTAAAAACGTTACTAGAACCTCCTTCTTCCACCTGCGTAATATCACTAACATTAGAAACATCTGATCTAAAGATGATGCAGAAAAACTGGTCTAGACTGGACTATTGCAATGGTTTATTATCTGGGTGTCCAAATACTTCTTTAAAACGTCTTCAGTTGATCCAACATGCTGCTGCCAGAGTCTTAACTGGAGTTACTGGGAGAGATCATGTCCAGTTTTAGCTTCTCTCCATTGGCTCCCTGTCAAACCCTGAATAGAATTCAAAATCTTACTTCTAACCTACAAAGCCCTCAACAACCTAGCTCCATCTTACATTACAGAGCTCATTGTTCCATATTTTCCTAACAGAGCACTTCACTCTCAGACTGCAGGTTTACTTGTGGTTCCTAGAGTTTCCAAAAGCAGAATGGGAGGAAGATCTTTCAGTTCTCAGGCTCCTCTCTTGTGGAACCAACTTCCAGTTTCTGTCCGTGAGGCTGACACATTGTCCAGTTTTAAGACTTTCCTTTTTGATAAATCCTATAGTTAGGGTCAGCTTGTTATGCTGCTAAACTACTAGAGGACAAATTGACCTAATTTCCTTAAATGAATTGTTAAAATTGAATCGTTTTCATTAACATGTGATTCTTGACCTGCCATTGTGTATCTATTCCTACCAAACCCAGCCGGTCGAAGCAGATGGTCCGCTTGTCCTGAGCCTGGTTCTGCTAAAGGTTTCTTCCTCATGAGGGAGTTTTTCCTTCCCACTGTCGCCTTCTTGCTTCCTCAAGATGAGAGTTCTGTGATGGAGTTAAACTCAAAGCTGCTCCTCAGATAAATAAAGTTAAATTATTATTTTTATATTTGAATGTTTCTGTTCAGTGCCCTGAGATGACTTCTGAACTGAGTATGAGGAACGGTCAAAGGTCGCTGTATGTTCTGATCGTTTGCACACTGGTTCCCCCTTTAACTACTGTCTCAGTTAAACCAGCAACACCAGCAGCTAGCTATAGCACCTCTGACGCAGCCATGAAGTGCATCCAGCAGTAGTTTTATATTTCTGACAGAAAAGGCGTAACGTAACCATTAGCTCATCAGCCTAGTCTGAAATAACCCGTTTTAACCGAGGCTGTTAAAAAGCCCATACATACGTCTCAGAATGGTTGAACTATCCCTTTAATTCTCCCAGTGATTGGTCACATCGACGGGGGACAACAACACAGACTGTAGTCAAGTCTCGGCAGCGATGAAGCTGCATTTCTAAAAATGCTGAACTTTTTATTTAAAGGATTTATTGTTTTAAGTTCAGCAAAAAGGTCAAACATCTAAAAACACAGATTTAACAAATCGGAGCATTTGCTGGGACCAGTCAGCTGTACAGAACCACTACGTCACCAGTTACTGTGTTCCACCCCGGAGTCGGAGACTAACCCTTCACTGCCTGTTTTAATGATGATTGTTAATCCAGATTAATAAATCCGAAGAGGCTGAATACAAACACGTTTTAATCTTTAGGCGGTCATTGGTCGTCATGGTAACAGATGAAACTTTCATGTCATCCACAACATACACAAAAATATATTTTTGTGAAGTAGCAACTTGAATTTTGCTGAGCGCTGCAAAAAAAAAAATGGACCTGAAATATTAAACGTCAGCTCAGTTCTGATTCCACAACAGAACCCTGGAAATTAAAATGTACGGAAACATTGTGAAAGTTTTTTTAAATTCAGATAAGTTCAGGAGGTTCTTACTGGAGCTGAAATACTAGAAACGATCATTTTCAGGTCTCCAAACGTCATTTCCTGTTCCGTGCAGGCTGGTTCGAGAGGTGACCGGGGTGAACGTGAACATGCGCGTTGGGATCCATAGTGGCAGGGTGCACTGCGGGGTTCTGGGCCTCAGGAAGTGGCAGTTTGACGTCTGGTCCAATGATGTCACGTTAGCGAACCAGATGGAAGCTGGAGGCAAAGCTGGGTACGCTTGTTTGATTTCTACAAATCAGTTGTTTTAAACGAGTGAGGCTTCAGATGACTAAACGCTCAGGAAGTCAGAAAAAATAAATAAACGACTTCCTGTCATTTCAGGCGTATTCACATCACCAAGGCCACTCTGAATTATCTGAACGGGGACTACGATGTGGAGCCAGGAGCAGGAGGAGAGAGAAACGCCTACTTGAAGAGGAACAACATAGAAACCTACCTCATTGTGGGCTGCAGCCAGAAACGAGTACAGTTCTCCAGTTACTGCCCTACAGGAACCTAAAACTGTCCATTTCTCCTTCAGGTGGATGGTCCAGCAGCAGCCGCATCTGATGCTGACATTTCCACAAGTGTCAATCAAAACAGGGGGCGGGGCTAAGTTTTTTTCAATTAGTGGAGTGTTATGGGAATGGAAATAAGTGCTGGGACTGACTTAAATCAGTCGTGTGACATCTGGTGCAGAGTTGTGGACAGTTTTTACCACTTCTGACGTGCGTCAGTTGTATTTATTTTTGTGCACGTTCAGGCCCTCCAAAACGCAATTTTCAAGAGAATTATAACAAACATTAGCGTTTTAAGAAGTGCTGGTGCCTTGGGTGCCTTGCTGTGGGTTTTCTTAAACGTCAAAACTTGCAAATGTAATCTAGTAGACCGCTGTGATTTGACTCTAAACCTGTAAATGAGCAAAATAGGGATTTTTTTTCACGTCAAACATTGTGAGCGTCTTAAAACATATGAGTTCTAAAATTCCTGTCTGCACCTCTTAATGTCAGTGTTGGCATATTCTAAGATTTGGAACAAGTTCGGTCTTTAATTTAAAGGACAGATTTTTAATGAAGTTGTGTTTTTTAAAGTGCACCTATCGGTTGTTTTGCTCTTCTCACTGAAAGATGAAACTTGGTCCGGTGCCGACTCTGTTTCAGAGAACCCATAAACATGAATGTAAACGTATTAATCTGAGCTGCAAATCAATGAGCCCACGTTGAAGGACTCGGTGTGGACTGTTTGGTGCTGAGGCAAGATTTATTTATGAAAAACACAAGATGTTTAGAAATGTTTATTTGATCAGAAACAAAATCTTCACCCAATTTAAAAAAAATCAATTAATTAGAACATTTGTTTGTTTTTCCTCTGAATTGGGTTAGATATTTTTATATTACAAATGTTCAACGACCACTGGTATAAATGGGCTAGCAAAGCTAAGTCTTCTTAACATTTACAATAAAGTTTTGAGAGATAAAAAATATTGTTAGTCTCTAACTGCTGTGCATCTTTATCTCTCACAGAAAGAAGAAAAGGCGATGATCGCCAAAATGAGCAGACAAAGAACCAACTCTGTCACCCACAACAGCGGCCACTGGACCGACCGTCCCTTCTACAACCACCTGGGTGTACCCCAGATCTCCAAGGAGATGAAGAGGATGGTGAGGAAAATGAAGAGAAGCGATCACTGGTCCCGACCTTTTGTGGTGCGGCAGCTTTCTGTCTCTTCGTGTTTGAGTGCCACAGCTGCTGCCAACAGCCGTCATTTGGTGGCGATGCCAACACATTAATAGTTAAAACTCTTTGATCTGGTTTGCAGATGAGCAGCAGGGATGTCCCTCAGTGGCTCACCTCACCCCGGCTAGAGAGGCTTTTAGCAATACAAGCATACTGAGGTTTAATGCACTATAAAACAAACAGGAGCTCCGTCTGTAATTAAATGGGTCTGAACCAGCTGAGTGAAGCTGACACCCCACCCACTTCCAAAATTAAAGCAACTAGTCTGAATGGTTAGTGCTCCGTTAGTGCTGGTTTGTGCCGTTATTTTTGTTAGTGCTGCTTTGCTTTCTGAGATATTAAAGATTAATTTTTAGCTCATCCAAAGGTCACATTCCCCCCATGTTGCTCCAAAACAGACGGGAGTGGTCTACTTTTGTAGTGCTTCGTTAGTGCTTCGTTAGTGCTCGTTTGTTCCGGTGAAACTTGCGTTTGTGCTGCTTTAGTTTATGAGATATTAAGAAATATAATTTTGCCCGATGACGTCACCATCCCCCCATGTTGCTCCAAAACAGACCGGAGTGGTGACGTCATCGGGCGAAATTATAATTCTTAATATCTCATAAACTAAAGCAGCACAAACGCTAGTTTCACCAGAACTAACGAGCACTAACAAAGCACTAACGAAGCACTAACGAAGCACTACAAAAGTAGACCACTCCCGTCTGTTTTGGAGCAACGTGGGGGGATTGTGACCTTTGGATGAGCTAAAAATTAATCTTTAATATCTCAGAAAGCAAAGCGGCACAAACGAAAATTTTAACGGCACAAACCAGCACTAACGGAGCACTAACCATTCAGACTAGTTGCTTTAATTTTGGAAGTGGGTGGGGTGTCAGCTTCACTCAGCTGTCTGAACCTGATACTTTAGGGATATGAAGGAAATCAGCAAGAGAGCTACAAGGTATAATAATCTATTGTGTAAACATGTTAAAATGTATTTATTTATGTTGTGAGCATGATAAACGGACACATTAATGACACACAGACGTTAGAAAGGTTCCGTTCGAAAATTGGGATGCCACGTCAAAATCCAAGATGGCTGCCACCATAAACGTCAGTGCACATTGTGAGCTGGATAACGTGAACAGTAAGAGAGGTGCCGACCTCATGTTGGCGTGCGGCTGCTAGGCAAGGTCACTGTTGACTGGCCGAGATGGTGTAGCGGTAGGGCAGCTGATCGGGACCAGACAGGTTCAACTCCCTGCCATGCCCACATGTCGTGGTGTCCTTGAGCAAGAAACCTAATCCCTAACTGCTCCCTGGTGCTTACAGAGCTGCTCACTGCTCCACCTGGGAGTAGCTCAGGTGTGACGGGTTAAATGCAGAGAACCCAAGTGGGTTGTCGCAACTAAATCCAAGATGGCCACCACAAGATATATATGTTTGTGTAAACTGGCCAGCCTGATTTTTAGCGGAAACTAGAATTTATAGTTATTGTTTAAAAGTATAGTTTACTCAAATGACTGGGGTGGCTGAAGATTAATCTATAGTAGTCACCATTGGTCCCCCCCTGGCTCCACCACTGCACCTGCTGGTGGATAAAATTGCTCCCTCCACTCACCAGGATCCATCATTTTGCGCTGCCCTGGACAAGTAAAAACTACAACCACCTGTGTTCTCCTACACGGTGTAACTATCACCTTGAGTATCTTAAAAACATTTAGGTTTACTTTTCGTGTTCAGTTCCAGTGTAGAAAAACACTCGTCCCGATCACTACAAACATTCACTATTAAAACCCTGAAGGACGGGGGACATCGGTGAACCGCTTGTTAGTTGGTGTATTCTGCCCACTGGGCCACCGGGTGGAACTGACCCAACAAAAACTGGTGACAACTGGTTTTCTGGACTGGACTTGACGTTTTGACGGTTAGAACAAAAGGAACTGGTTCAAAGTTGAGCACTGGTATCGTAGCAGAGAAAGATGTAGGCGTACACAGCAGCTTTGAAAAATCAGGACTCGATTGTTCGTTTATTATGTGCACAGATTAAAAATGAAAAGGACACGACTACTTCAGGTATTTTTTTCTGTTTGTGGGATAAAATATTTGTGTTCCACCGTTCTGCAGAGAAATCCCTCTTAATGAGTACAACGTGACGGGGTGGACGCTGACACCGTGGAAATGCTGGTTACTTTGATTGTAATTAGCTTAAAGCGCATGCCTGCAGAGCGGAGCTTCAAACAGCCTGTCCATATAAATGATCCTCTGTGATTATTATTAGTTTGTGTGTTTTCTTGTGACCTGCACGCGGGGCTTCAAGAGGCCTCAAAGCACCAAATGGTAAAATGAGCAGCCGAACAGAAAACAGCACCACCTACTGAAGCTTCAGCCACGTTAAAGGCCAACGAGCCGAAACAACCGTGCAGAACAAAACATTTCATCTGCTCCGGTTCAGCTCTTTGTTCATTCTCTTGTCATCAGACGACGTCTCCAAGTGGCTCACTCGACTTCTTTAAAAAAACTGCAGAAGTTCTTTTCACTTGAGCTTTTTTAATTCGCCACATTTTGGTCTGTTTGCTCCTTTTCATGCTGTTTCATGCTAACCCTGAAGTTAAAACATGCCGTACACTTTTACTGTTTTCTATGTCCATTAAACGATGGGCGGTCGTCTCGATAGAAAGGACGAAGCGCTCCTGATTTTCATTTTGCACCAGTTTTTGCATGAACTTGTGAATTTGTGGTTTTTGGGCTGGTATCACAATGAAAGCTTTGTAACAAGATGTGCACACAGACAATGTGAAAAGTGAGAAGTGAAACGATTTATTGGCTTAATGCGTTTTTCTTTGTGAAGCTTAACGACAGCAACGGATCATAGATGTAAAAATTATAAATTAAAACGCCCAACAGTTGATTTTTCTAATCAAAGCTGCGTTAAAGTGGAAGTTGTTTGTCTATTTTTAAGACTTTTGTGCACCATTTAAATCTTGAATATTGAAGATGTTGTTCCGGTCTTGACTCGGTTATTTTTCATACGGCGACGCATTCAGGACCTTTTTCCTGCCAGCGGGGACCTTTCACCCTCGTTGTGTGGATGCTTGAGAAGCTTTCACGCTACTGCGATCCAGTTTTCTTCCGTACGTTTTTCAGCATCTCTCTCGTCCCGCAGTTTTCAGCTATTTCAACAAATCTTAAATCAAAACGTTCGGCTCTTTCAGGACAATCCTACTATGACTTCTGGTATTGGTGCAACTTTAGCTTTTTGAAATATTTGGCCTTTTCTGACACTTTTTTTTTCTCATAGAAAATGAATTGAGCTCATTTTACATCCTTCATATCTTTAGATCTTTACAACCTTTTCCTGCTCCTTTCACATTCTGTTCTGATTCAGCTTCTTTCAGCAAATTTAAACTTCTTTTGAGCTACTTTCAGCTAATTGCATATGTTTTTTCAGCTGGTTTGTGCTCCTTTTAGATTATTTCAGCTAACTACAGCATTTTTGTGCTTCTAAATTATTTCTGCTGATTTTAGCTTGTTATGATCTTTCAACTTTTTCTGCTATTTCAGGTACTGTTTAGCTGTTTTTATACTAATTTTAGCTTTTTTGGCTAATTCCACATTTCTTGCACTCATTTGAACTTTTCTCAGTTTAAATCAGCAAAAATGTGCTCTCTCCACTTCCTTCTGGTAATTTAAGCTTCTATCAGAAAGTTTTAGCTACTTTTCAGCAGTTTTTTTGTTGCTAATTTCAGCTCTTTTCATACATTATCCACTTTTTAGTCCTCATTTCTGCTTCTTTCAGTTTAATTGGGTAAATGTGTTCTTTCTGCTTTCTTTTGCTAAGTTAAGCTTGTTCTACATTTTCAGCTACTTTTTTTAGTAATTAAAAAAATTCAGCTAATTTCAGCTGTTTTGAGATAAATTAAATTATTTTGGGGAATTTCTGCTACTTTCAATCTAAGTTCTTTCTACTAATTTCAGCTCCTTTCAGCTTTTTTCTGCTAATTTCAGATTTTTCTGTTATTTCAGCTACTTTTTAGCTGTTTTGTGCAAAATTTAGCTTTTCAACTAATTCCATTTTTTTTTTTAGCTAATTTCAGTTCCCTCCACTTCCTCCTGATAGTTTAAGCTTCTTTCTACGGTTTACGGACCATATCTTTCTGCCTTTTCAACTACTTTTCAGCTATTGCTTGCTAATTTCTGCATTTTTAGCTAATTTCCTAATTTTTGTGATAATTTCTGCTTACCTTAATCTAATTTAGCAAATATGCGTTCTTTCTGCATTTTCCTGATAACTTAGGCTTGTTCTTCAAATTCAGCTTACCTCCAGCATATTTTTAGCTGATTTCAGCTGTTTTTCATCAAGTTTTTCAGCAATAAGCACTCACACTGCATTTTCACAGGAAATGCAATTTCTCTAGTTGTATTTGTTTTATTGTTTTGGCTCAAATTAATCATTATTTTGTCAGTTTTTCAAATCACTGTTATTTTTGCAACACCATTGCCTGCATTGTGCTTGATTATTATTATTATTATTATTATTATTATTATTATTATTATTATGCTGAATATGCTGTTATCTTGGAGATTATCGGTGTGCTGAACCTGTTTAACACAGTTTACACACACAAAAAAGTTTGTCTGGAAAATATGAATATTTGTTGCAGTTTGTAGAAGTTACAACAAATCTTAAGAAAAAAATTGTGAATGTAAGAAAAATCAGGGATAAGATCAAACTTTTAATGTTAGTGCTGTAAAAACAGGAACTGCAGTTTATTCAAACACGTAAAGATCAAAACATTTATCTTCGGTGATAGAAATGCCAAGAAAGTGATTTTATACATCAGAAAAGATAAATAAATGTGTTTGATACATTAATCAGTTTTCTTTTAAAGATGCTTAGTGGAGAAACAACTAGAAAGATTTAAAAATGTTTAGATCTTTTGAATTAAAGTTTTCAAGAAAAGTTATGAACAACTAATATCTTACCTGTTGCAGACAGCTCTTTAAACAGGGTCCTTGTGGAGGAGCTGAGCTGTATTCTGACCAGATTATTAAACCAACATCAAGTTTAAGCAAGGCCAAAATTAAAGTGGATTACTGCCTCTTTAAAAAACTCAAATCTAAAATAACATTTTTCAGATGGTCATGCAAACACTGTGTAATACACCTTTATTCAGTCAGTCTTGCATTTCACAGGCGATTTCTGAGAATACTTTTTTTTGTCCCCTGTCATAGAGCGGGGGGGGGGGGGGGGGGATTAGAAATGCCCTCGGTTCATTCGTGTTTGTTGTGATCAAAATAACTTGAAAAATAAGTGAAGTACCAACTTCCATTTTGGTGCGTGGCTACATCTAGGCATAAGGAAGATTACTTTTGAAAATGGGGTTGCCACATCCAAATCCAAGATGGCTGCCACCATAAATGTATACAGTATATGTAAACCTTATGAGCTGGACAACTTAAAAAATAAACAATATGCCGTCTTCCATTTTGTTGTGCGGCTGCGTCTAGGTGTAAGAAAGGTCACCATTAAAAACCATGGGTTGCCAAGTCAAAATCCAAGATGGCCACAACCTTATTTATATGTAAACTGGCCACCCCAAAGAAACTGTGCTTTCTAGTTTTTATAGCTTAAAAGTATAGTTTCCTCAAATGATTGGGGTGGTCTTTGGGGTGGCCAAAGATTAATCTATAGCGGACAAGGCCACTATTGGCCACCCCCTAGCTCCACCATTGTGCCTGGTGGTGGATAAAATGTATCCCTCCACTCACCAGGATCTGTCACTCTGCACCGCCTCGGACAAGCAAAAAAAACTTCCTCTGTTTGTTTCCACAGTGTAACTCCTCCCCATTTGAATATTTTGCACCAGAAACATTAAAACAAAACGTTTGAGACCGGAGTCATGTTACCACGACAGTGCACTCATGTCTTGGACTGTTTATGGTTTTAAAATAAATACAGTCAAAATTAAATGATTTTTGAAACTGAAGTTATTAAAAAAAAAAAACTACCTACAGCAGGTAAGATATTAACTATTTACAACCGTTTTACTGAAACCCACTACAAAACATCTCAGCTGTGTTTTTCTGAACAAAAGCTGTAAAAAAGTGAACTTTTAGAAGTGTCAGTTAATCCTCTGTTTTATTTCTTTCTTTCAGGGCTTTGAGGACCCCAAGGACAAGTGAGTAACATTTATAACATTTAAAATACAACGTGTATGCCCATGTCTATCAACATTTACAATAACTGTCTTAGTATCGTCAGTATTCAACCATAAAACTAGACTCGGCGTCAGTCAGTGCCCTTGGATTACTATTAGTCATCCAGTGTAACTAAAAGACAAATAAAGACGTATCTCAGGAGGTTTATGACTCCGCCCACTTTGTCTTTCTGACCGTTTTTCTATTATTGAGCATCTTTTGTCTCACAGTGTTGAACTTTTATTATTTAGTTGTTGTTTCTTCAGTAACAGCTGTTGCATTCAGAGTCAATGAGCGGCAGAGAGGAGATGTTTAACTCACAGCTTCTTCCAGGACAAAGAATGGACCCACTTCATTCACAAGTCGCCCTCTCCCGGTCCCCTCGAGTGGATCTGTAACTGAGTCTGTTCTGACATCGCACTGATCCACAGAGGCCAGGCCGACAGACGGGAAAGAAGTCCAGCTCCAAGAGAACGGCTCTTGTTCTGAGCACTAACTGTCAGCCTCTCGTCTTGTTTGATTCAGGAACAGTATTTTCAGGAACACGCAGGAAAACCTGAACCCAGAGGACGAGGTGGACGAGTTCCTAGGACGGGCCATCGACGCCCGCAGCATCGACCGGCTACGCTCCGAGCATGTCAAGAAGTTTCTGCTCACCTTCAGGGAGTCGGACCTGGAGAAGAAGGTGAACGCACACAGAGGTTGTGCATCAGCAGATAGGTGGCCATGATGCGCCGTGTAGGCCTGAGAGAAAATCTTTGTCTTTTCGTCCCTTGAGGAAGTCCTTCAGAGAAAAAGAGCACGGAGAGGGAGTCGACTTTAGCATGGAGGACAGTCTGAGAGGAGACGTTACAAAATATTTTACTTTATGAATATTAATATTTATATGTATAAAGACATTAGTCCCTCACTGCTTTGCGGCTCATTTTTCGTGGACTCGCTCCATCGTGGTTTTTCAAAATAAGAGTGGACATGACACACAAGTGGCTGATTGATGGGTGAGCTGCATGATCGGCATTAAATTTTTAATTTAAAATAAATTATTTAAAATTATTTAGCACCTGCTGCATCTTTGTGCAGCCCAGAGCTGCAGAAGAAGCTTCCTCCTGCAGCTGATCAGCTGATCTCCGTGCAGAGCAGAGAAATGGGCGTGGCTAAGCGCTTGCAGGAGGCAGAGAACAGAAATCACAACATTCAGTCTCTTTTAGAGCATTTAGAGTTTAGAGACATTGTTTAGAATATTATGGGAAGTGTTTCAAACACCTTTATATATATATATATATATATATATATATATATATATACACATACACAAATATGCATATATATATATATGTGTATACTAAAATAAACTGCTACTTGTACTATTATCGCGGGGCTTCGGGGTACGGATCCCCTGTGATAAATGAGGGACTACTGTACTGAGTAAAGTTAACTTTAAAATAACTTGTGACTAAAAATAAATTTCAACTGTTTTTCACGTCAGTATCGAGACTCTCAGTCTAATCGTTTATTTGTTTAGTTTATATTTTTTCTGTGGTAGGACAGGATGTCCAGACAGTTTGGTGTGACCTTTGTGGCTCCTCTCTTGCAGTACTCCAAGCAGGTGGACACCCGGTTCGGAGCGTACGTGGCCTGCGCCTCGCTCGTCTTTCTCTTCATCTGCTTCATCCAGATCGTCATCGTTCCACGGTGAGTCAGCTCTTTGAGAACAGTAAATAAAATGTTCAGCACGTATAAAAACCTTTAAGTGTTTGCTCCCTCACGTACTCACACATCTCTCTGCTTCTCATTTTAACATGAATCACAGAAATATAAAACTTAATGGTAGAAATTCTCTGTGATCCCTCGACCAAGCAACTTAATTCTGTGTTGGACTTGAGCCTTTCACGTGTCTCGTCTGGTCATGACGTGGACCAGTTGGTGCACCTCCTGAAGTCTGGAGCTCTTTCAGGCTACAAGTCTCAGCTTCCAGTCCGAGCGGTGCTGCAGGACACAATCAGGGAAGTGAAACTTTGTTTGGGGAATAATACAGCGGCACGTTCAGTCACTTTATTTCCAGAGTTCACACAACGAGTGACTCGTTTGTGACTCGTTTTCTCTGCAGATACATTCAGCCTGTTCAAGGGACACGTCTCTTGAATTGATGTTCTGTTGCAGTCTAGATCAAAATCAAACCTATAAACTCAAATCCTGCCACCAAGGGATCAAGTTACGTTTTTGATCAGCCAGCTGAGTATTTTTGTCCCCTGCTGTGGAGCGAAGTGATGGAACTGGAAACACCCTCCGTCCATCCATCAGCATAACTTCAAAAATAAGAGCGGTACAACTTCCATTCTGGTGTGTGGCTAAATACAGGCGTAAGGAAGATTCCTATCAAAAACCTGGGTTGCCTAGTCAAAATTCAAGATGGCCACCACTTTATATATGTTTAAACTGGCCACCCCTTTCATTTGAGGAATCTATACTTTCTACTTTTTATATTGCCTCAAAGTAGAGTTTCTTCAAATGGTTGGGATGGTTGAAGATTAATCTATGGTGGCCAAGGCCACCATTGGCCACCCCTTGGCTCCAGCACTGCACCTGGTGGTGGATACAATCGCTCCCTCCACTCACCAGGATCTGTCACTCTGCTCTGCCTCAGACAAAAAATAAAATCAAACTCTGTTCTGTCTGTTCTTCACAGTGTAACTCCTCCTCACTAGGCCTGTTGCAATAAATCAATTAATTGCATAAATTAAAATTATCGATCTCATTTTCATATTGATGCTCAATAATCCAGGTATACAATCCAAGAATTTTCAGTTCAGACTGAAAATTATTGGATCAGCTTTATCGTTTCTTCGTGTCTGGATGACAAAAGGCTCAACTCCGGTCTCTTCACTCACGTCCTCCTCCCTTTCTCTTTAAAATCTGCTTTTAATGATCCAAAATCGCATTTTTGGATCATTAAAAGCAGCTAAGCTACGAGCTAAGCTACGAGCTAAGCTACGAGCTAAGCTACAAGCTAAGCTAACAGGACGACCTCGGGAAATAAACTCCGTCTTGTCGAAGCTCCAAAATTCACGGTTGAAACTCGTGCCTTCATGTAAAAAGTTGGTTTTTTTTGGTTTTTTTTGCAAAAAGAAGCTGAGAACTTGTTTACTGTTTTTTTTATTTATTTTTATTAAAAGCTTTGTGTGACAAATGCTATGCTAAAGAACTCAAACTATAGCGGCCGCCATTTTGAGAACCAAAAAAAAAGGAAGGAGAGACAGCTCATGGCACGTCAAGGGGCCTCCCTCCCATTTTTCTTAAAGAGACACGCTGCTCGCTCCCTCACTATCCATCCTTCGGTTCAAACTGTCTCATACTGCCATCCAGTGGTCAAAAAAGGTACTACACTCAAAACAAATCAACATTTCTTCGTAAATTTGACAATAATTACTAATTATTGCCAAATTTCAAACAATATTATCGTTTATCGCAATAATTTCTGAGACAATTAATCGCCCAGAAACATTTGTTATCGTGACAGGCAGGACTACTCCCCACTTGAATATCTTACAGAAAAAACCTTTAGGCTTACTTTCATTCTGTGCTAAGCTCCAGTCCAGAAAAACACTCATCTCAAAAACTACAAGCATTAAATCGCTCGGCGACAGGGACATCGTGGAACTGCTCGTTGTCTCGGTTGTTCGTTTAAAATGTTCTCAGCACGTTTTAAAGCAGTCGTCCTTCTGGGCAAGATGCAAAAACACAACAACTAAGTTTTGGACAACTCTTATAAACCGCAAATCTGATCGTTTTAAATAATAAAGGGGGTAATAAAGTTGATAATCAAATCAGAAGTTGGTGGAACTGCAGCAGATTGAACAATCTCAGGCAGTTTCTTAACTTTGTGCCTCCTTTCTTCTTCACCATCTCTCACTATCGATCGTCTTTCTTCTCCTCCTCCATTAACCTTCTCCTGGACCCGCTCGTCTCCCCGCTGCACTTCTTATCTTTTATTCTTGTCTTCACCTCTGCGTCCTCCACAGGATTCTGCTCTCGTTGTTGCCCCTCACCACCTCCTTCATTTAATCAGTCTCCCCTAATCACTTTAACCTTCTTCCCGCTCTCCTTGATGTTGTCGCACTAGATTTCTTTCAGTGGATTCACACGAACCCAAAACTAAAGACACCTGCAGATGAAGCTCTGCAGATGAAGCTCTGCAGCCCAGACACCATTAACTCCACCCCCCCAGCGAGTCTCTTCAGGTTCCTCTCCGTGATCTTGGTCCATCTGACCACTGAAACTTCATCCATTCTTCACACTCGGTCAGATTATTGTGTCCAGCAGTGTTCGGATCAAACCAGAGACATGTAACTGGTTCTCCTTAACCCAGACCAGTGTTTGGACTCTGTCCTGCAGGAAGGTGAAACCTCTTGGACGCTCAGGCTTCTCTATATTTTGGACCTTCTAACTGGGGACGGTGTTCTCAGCATGACGCGAGGTGTTAGGGTTTTCCATACGTGACGTTGTCCTTGTTAGTTAAAGAGTTTCATTTGACTCTTCAGGCCGCAGCAGCTTCCTCCACACGTTTGGGGAGGACGTTCCAGCCGGCTTTATTTGTGTGTTTACCATTCTCCTGGCTGCTTTTCCACGAAGCTCAGCTCTGTGCAGCTGATACCGTATTTTCTGGCACATAAGTCGCATCAATCAAAAAAAGCATCATGAAGAGGAAAACAACTTATTTAAGTCGATTTGGCGTATAAGTCGCATTTATTATGAGTCACCGCTGACCCGTCGTGTTTATTATGGGTTTATTTATTGGTCATAACAGCTTCATTTTACCTGGGCAGTGCAACGCCATCCATCCATCCATCCATCCATCCATCCATCCATCCAACCATCCAACCATCCATCGTGGCCGGAGCCTCTAGCTCTCCAGCGTTCCTCCGCCTGCACCAGCTGAGTGAAGCGAGCGCACACCGGAGGACTCGTTATTGCAGTTCTTCGAAATTTAAAGCATCAGTCAAAAATTGTATGAATATGGAAAAAAAAAACTTATATAAGTCGCTTCGGCGTATAAGTCACAGGACTGACAAACCTATACAAAAATCTGCGACTTATATCCTGGAAAATACGTTACGTCTTATGGACAACTCCTCCCATCCATCGGGGTTATTTTTGGCTTCTTTTCTGATGAATGCTCTCCTCACTCGGTCTATGAGTTGTAGTGAACAACTCTCCGGGCAGGTTTGCTGTGGTTGCATCGTCTTTCACATTAAATCACATTAAAATTTCATAGAAAGAATACAGAGAATATGTCTGCGACCCTCTGCAAAGACAGAAACAAGGATTAGATGTAACTAATCCCCTCTTGTCGTTGTGTCCAGCTCGAGCCTGATGATCGGCTTCTTCGTCACCTGCTTCATCGTCCTGATGGCGGTCGTGTTCATCTCAGCCGTGTACTCCTGTTATGTGGTGCGTATCTGAACAAAAGCATCTCAGAGTGTGACAACAGGTAACACTAGTTTTTAACAACAGAATATTTATCTGCAGCGTGGCGATACATTACAGGCACTTTCTTTCAGAAGTTGTATTTGTCCAGGGAATATGTATTACTGTATTTTCCGTCGTACACGTCACACCGCTGTATAGGTCGCATCAGTCCAAATATGTGTAAAGTGGAAAGAAACAAACACGTCGCTTCGCCGTATTAGTCGCATTTATTACGCGTCACCACTGACAACCTGGAAATGTGGGCCGGTGTTGTGCCAAAAACCGATTGGCTGACAAATGGCGGCCGCGGGAGCGTGCACGGGAGGACTTTAACAAGAATTTAACAAAATGAACACTTAAAAACAATAATTTGTTTGCTCGACATTATAGTAAAGGTGTGTCTCAGTCTAACTTTTATTTAATAAATGCACTTTAACGGTCAAATCAGCTGCATTTCACCTGCTCCAGGAGTTCCGGAGCGAGACGAAGGTGGCTTTGTATGGCAAGCCAAGTGTCTCATTAATAACCACTTTTACCTCTTAATGAGACACTTGGCTTGCCATATTTCTCCAGCGCCCTCTAGCAGCTGAAAATGGTAGTGTTCAATATTTTTCATGTCAGAATGAATGAGATCGTCAGATCTCGGCCAAAACTTAGGTTATAAATATGCAGAAAAACATAAATAAGTCGTTTCGCTGCACAAGTCGCTAATTTATGCAAAAAGGTGCGACTTATACAGCGAACAGTACGGTAGATGCACCAACCATGCTCCATACTTTTCACTGCTCTGTACTGTGATGATATTAAAATGTTTTATGTAATAATCAGTCTCGGTGTGACGGGTCAGTAAGGGACAGCAAGAGATAGTTTTTATTATCCTTTAGAGCTGGACCGGGGGGG